CTCGTGGTGCTGGTGAAGGACCACGGGCAGCCGGCGCTGTCGGCCACGGCCACGCTGCACGTGGTGCTGGCCGAGAGCTTGCAGGAGGCGCTGCCGGCGCTGAGCGAGCGCGCGGCGGGCGCCGAGGCGCCGTCGGACTTGCAGTTCTACCTGGTGCTGGCGCTCGCGCTGCTCTGCGCCTTGCTGGTGCTGAGCGTGGCGCTGGCCGTGGCGGCGCGGCTGCGGCGCGCCGGGCCGCCCGCCGTGCTGCGCTGCCTGCGCGCCGAGCGCTTCTCCGTGGGCGGCGCCGCCTTCCCGGCCGACTTCTGCGAGGGCACCTTGCCCTACTCGTACAACCTGTGCGTGGCGCCGGCACGCGCCGTGGCCGAGTGCGCTTTGGTGCCGGCGCCGCTGCCCAGCCGCGCCGTCGACGACCTTCTCAGCGGGGACGCGCCCGCCATGCTCACGCCCGGCAGCAGCTGTGTCCCAGCAGAGCCGCCCGCGGATCTCGATGCCGTGCAGGTCTGTAAGATCGTCTTCTGCGTGCTTTCGGTGTTCTGTTATAATCCCTGTTCCTTCGTTTATAATTTTGATAATCTTCAGTAATCATCGGTATGTAAGACACTATACTCGTTGTCTTCGTTATCTTCCCATCAAATACTTTCGTGCATATGCACTTTTTTTCCGGCGCTCCGGGTGGCTACGGCGGCTTCTGCCTTTTTCTCTTCCCTGCTGCATTGGAAATGGCTGGTCGCTTTTCTCGTGACTCGCTGCAGGAAGTGATACACGGCGCCTGGCCGCGTCACCAGGAAATGAGTGAATCGGTTTCCTCACGAGACTCCGCGCCTGGTAGTAGCACTCCTTAAAGAGACGAGCGTCATTAAGGGCGAGGGTGGATCCTCACTATATGTGTGGTCTTCTAAGGTCTTTTGTTTCTGCGTGTGGGGAGTACGCGATTGAGAATGAGATTTCAGACTGATTCCTAGTTTTCGCTGTGTTCAGTGCACCGGGGCTGCGTGTGCTCGTGGGATGTGTAGAGGGACGCAAGACGGGTAGGGGTAGAGTCTGTGTGTGCTCTGTGACTCGCTGCGGGAAGTGAAAGACGGCGCCCCTCACATCATCGGGAAACGCGAGCGTCGTTTCTTTRGGAGGATCTGGCCGTAGGAGTAGCTCTACTTACAGACTTAAAGAGATCCTCTCTGTCACCTGACAGAGAAAGCTTTATGCATGTTATGGTGTGACCCGAAAAGAAAAAGAATGTGACACATGAATTCCAATGAATATAAAAATTCTTGGTGGGTATATACGACAAGTAGCTCCTCTCCTCTCCTCTCCTCTCCTCTCCTCTCCCGCAAGTAGCTTCTTTTCTTTCTCAGATCCATGTATCTCCACCTTGTGAAGGTATGCCCATGGAAGTAGCACTGTTTGACGTGATATGCCATGATATTTAGGAAGAGTAAAGTGACCTTCACTAACCTTCACTTCTGAGATATTCTGAGGTATTCTGCTTCTGCATGTGGGATAAATGCAAGAGAGATTTCCTGATTTTTTTTTTTTTTTACTTGATTGGTAGCATTGCAGGTTGAACCGGTGGTTGCTGTTTTTTTAGCAATGTATTCTCCACAGGAGGTGTGAATGTGCTTGTTAATTGGGCGACGGGCGCCTGGCTGAACCCATCCTCATCTCACGCTGTCTTTAGTGCCCTCGCYTTGGCACGAARAGTGGTGATTGTGTTCTGCTTTTGYGGTGTTCCTGTCGAACGTCCCCCCTTTAGATCAGGGCAGTTGCATGAGGAGCAGATCTGTGTGACGAGGAGTGAAGTCATGGTTGTCTTCTTTAGACTTGTCTATCTTATCAACGAACTYTCTGCTCTGATCTTTAAAACCACAATGCGAGCCTAGYRGTTATGTTGATAGCATTTCTGTGGCCGGTGAATGAGTTATTACGGGAATGAGTTTTATTGGCTGATGATTATGTATGCTTTGAGGGGAGAGATTGGAAAAGAATCTCCAGGATCCAAAATTGAGACAGACCTACTATCTTGTTCAAATGATTTCTTAGTGACTCAGACTTTCTCTAGTGATATAGACCTAAAATTTATTCTTGTCTATTCACTTAGTGATGGCTGTGCCTTTGTGATCCTTTCATCCATTTTCCCTTCCAGATTTATATCCTTTCTCCATMGTGCAATTTAACATTCGTTCTCTATATTCCTTTCACGGGGGAGCTGGAACTTATGCCTGACTTGGAACTGAGCAAGAAGGTTCACCAGTTGCTAAGACTGACTCGTCTGAAGCACGGCAAATCTGTGAACTATATTKGCTATTTGTCTTGAACTCTCAGAATATGATCTGGCGCTCTTAGTCACTACATATTCCCTCTTCTTTTGTCCCTTCCAAATGATGTTTTAAGGAGGTCTGAGAGGTATCACCTTGCATTTTCTGGCTTTCCCTATGAGAAACAGAGGATGATCCCTCCAAGACAGTCGAAGTGTAAGAGATGGGAAGATGGGATATTCTGTGCCATTGCTGAGTTGAGATATCCTTGCACTGTTCTCAGTCCTCATTTTATTACCCATCTTAGTACTCATCTTACTAGTCTATGTGGATATTGCAGAGGCATGTTGCTCTGGAGTTATTGTTGTATGTGTACTCATATTAGGAGATATTTAAGAATTTCGATATGCATGTTGGAAAGATAAATCTGTTAACAGAATTTAGGGAAGAGGCAAAGTTATTAAGAAAGCAGTTAGGACTGGTAAGTAAAAGATAAAAAGATTCATATCAGCGTAATTAAATGAAGAAGCGTGAATTTTTTTTTTTTTTTTGAATTGTAGCTCGATGAAACTATGGATTGTCTTATTCTAAAATCATATGTAAGAGAAAACTAACTGAAATTTTGCTGAGTAGAGGTTTATGAGAAAAGAAACTTCATTTCAGGATGAGGAGTCTGAAAATGTGGTCTGTTATAAAGAGGATCCAGAATGGGTAGATTGAGGTAAGTRATAGTCCTTATGGGCACCTTTCACCCGTTCTTCGTGTGAGTTTTTCTATTCCCCCAGGAACTTTTTTTTTGTTTTGTTTACTAATGTTGCATTTTAGCGTTTTGAAATCATACTTGYTTTTCCTCTTTACTTTCAAGTTCTATGGACTGTTGATAAGAATACAGTAGTAGTGAGTGCTGTTGATATGATTTAATTTTCACTATTGATGATTAAGTTGGAAAAGTAATAACTGTAGAATTGAAAATCTGAACTGATCCATGTTGGTGGATATATATAAGCGCTGARATACTTTGTTTCTGAGTGTCTCTCGTGTGTGTTCACGGCAGTTAGCAGCAGTGTACCGTGTCTAGGGTCAAGTTCCCTATTGCTTCGCCTCTACTGTGTATATCACATTGACAAGGGTGATTAGTAGACTTTCTGCGATACTGTCAAATGTGGTAAGATGCGAGATACCTAATCAGGTGCAATATTTTCAGTGAAATTCTTCAGGGCACTACCTCCCTCTCTCTTGGATAAATGGATGAAAACCTAAACGCTAATTTCCAACCTGTTTTCCTCCCTACCCAACTCGTTTCATTCGTTATTAAATTTATGGTTATGATAGAACTCTTGGTGTTCCCGTATGAAGTTTACTTGTTYCCTTCCCTTTCCAAGATGACAATCTTGCATCGTTCCTTGCATGACAGAAATTGCAGTAATTTCATTGATTTGTTCATTGGTGCCGTTGGGAAAACGCGGTATCACAAGCTGTTGACAGCAACAACCCGAAGCACGATGGACAGCGCTAGAGCTGGCTGTTTCTCGACCAGGTGCGCCCAGTGCCATGATCCTAAGGCTGCAAGTGAACGGAAGCGGGATGTTGTTTTTTTCCACGTGCCGCTGTGACCCATCTCCCACAGCCAGGAAAGCCAGYAGGTGTCTGGACTAGGCAAATACACATTGGTAACTAAGCTAGAGAGATGGTGAGGACAAGAGAAAGATTAAACATCAGACCCTGGGAGCCCAGAGAGGGAAGGAGCCCTACCTGCTTCTGCCTCGCCCGGCCATGTGCTTCTGCCTCCCTTATACATGACTTTGTATCTCTCTTTCGATGATTTGTCATAGAAAAATCTTCTCTGGGAACATGGTGATGACTGGAGGCAAAAGGTGAAATACTCTTTGCGACATTGCAGCAGAAGTCGCTCTGCTTCTGGATAGGATTTTTGCTGTGAGCAAAATAGATGGTTAAAGGGAAAAAACAGGAAAGGCTGAAATATGACCCGGGAGGACCTGGATCCTTCAGGATCCTGATACCCGGAGATAGCATAGCGATAGAGCCAAGGCTGCGTTCCGAAGCCCTGCCCTGCACTGTCCCCCGCAAGCCTCTCACCCTTCCCACCTCCTTTTCTTGCTCCTGCTGCCTTTCTCCAAATAGGTGTGG